TCTTGAGATTGGGAACCTAGTTTTGGGAAAACATCACATCTTTGTAATCCAAAACACCTAGCTTCTTTAATTCAATGAGGAATGGACTCTCTCATTGGGGATTGAGAGAGATGGACTTCAAGCGCAGAAAAAAGCATTAGAACAGGAGGTTCCTGGAAATTTCACTCGGAAGAGTAATTAGTTTAAGATCAGGAGGCTGAAAAAAGATAGCAGATCTTGTGGGCTACAGGACGTAGATCAAGAAATCTATTGGAGTGGCTAGATAGTATCTACGACAGTAGATCGTGAGACTGAAAAAATGACAGTCAATCGTAGAGTTTACAGGAATTACAACAGCCAGAACTATAGGAAGTTGCTAGTCTGGAATCGCATTGTAACCCTAACTGACTATAGTGGAAGTAACTCGCTTGGTCCTAGAGTTTTTCCCATATTGGATTTCTCTGTCAACAATTGTGCATTGTTTGCTGTTATCCATATTATTACAATTGCGGCATTCAAACATAGGAAAAACGGACTTCTATGTTTAACAATCTAGAAAACTAATTAAAAGTGAATTGTTGCTTTAATTAGTCAATTCCACACCTAAGATCAAATTAATAAATTGTCTGGAATGCAAACTTCGTAATCTTAAAAGTTGAAATAACGTGTAGCGTCCTAGACCCGATTTCACACAAATGATAGGGGAAAAAATAAGAAACAATGAATATACGCACCTCATTATGGTTTTGGAAAGCATTAGACGATCTTTCACCACATAGATCCCAAATATATATCTTTCCCTGCTTCCTAGCTCCCAAAATAATCTATTTGTCCAGCCAAATACAGTGTAAGAACAAATCTCATCATTGTTTCATATGGAGCTGCGCAAGTAATATTTGTTGCTGTGGGAATCTGCAAATACTAGGTTTGATTCTGCAGAATCGCCTCTATTTTCTTATCAAGGGGAGTTTTACAATTCTTTTTTCATAATCTATTCTATCAAAAAATTTAATTAAATCTGACCTCCTTATCCCCACTTAATTTAATGCAGTAAGTGTGCTATTGGAATAAGAAGTCAGCTCTAAACAGGGAAGATTGCTAACTCTTCCGTCCCTACATTTATTTCACCATTCATATCTGAAGCAAGTAACCTATTGCAGCAGATCATCAAGAAAGAAAAAAAGGGATGAGAAAATCAATAAAGATAAAGACACTCAAATGGATATAGAGCAGTAAGAAAACAGAGATTATAATTTATTACAGTTTCGACTTCTCCAGGGATCCATAAACTATCCTTTTCCCTAGAATCTGTTATATTTCTTACAACTTTTGGATAACAAATTCCAAGATTTAATCTTCCAATTATTTGCTAATTTTTCTCTCAAATATTATCTCTCCCTACTAATGCATTAGGCGCGTCAAAATCAAAAGGTTTCGCTACATCTTTGGCTTAGCATATGGATGTTCTCATACCAATCTGTATACGCTGGTGTTGGAGTTTCTTACTGCACATTTCTTTTCCATTTTCGAACTTTACTTTTAATTCTTCTTTTGGGTCGTTTGTTATCTTTCTCAAAATTTAACATTTTTATTGTACAATATGTATTGCAATTAATTCTGGAAGAAAAGATTTGCAGAAAATAGTGAAACTCTCCTCGTGAATAAAATGTTCTGCTAGCGTTTTATCTATTGTAGTATGTCTTTTATAAACCGAGATCTTTGTTGTCCATTATTGCAGGTGGAATAGAAGCTCTAATTGGGCAATGTTAGCAGCTGATCTTGAATGGAAAGAAATTGTGGAACCTATTATGGAAGTGTATACAGAGGCAACAGATGGATCCTATATGGAAATTAAAGATAGTGCATTAGTTTGGCACCATCAGGATGCAGACCCCGACTTTGGCTCCTGCCAAGCCAAAGAATTATTAGTTCATTTGGAAAATGTACTTGCAAATGAACCTGCAGTTGTTCGGAGGGGACAGCATATTGTTGAAGTTAAACCACAAGTATGATCTGAACCCCCCCCCACCACCCCCCACCCCCAAAAAAAAAAGGGAAATCAACAAAAAAAAATAAATAAATCAGTTCAAGCTAATTTAGTATATAATTAACTGGGAAATATACAAAATAAAAAGGATAATTAATTCCTCACAATAAGATTACATTAAAAGACAAGAAATGTCATGGCAATAATTCCGTTCAATTTTTCTATTTAATTCAATTAGACTTCTCTTCCACCAGTACCTGAAATTGCATGGTTTTTTTATTTTACTTATCCAAGCTCGGTTGGCTCCTTCCTTTCCTTCTTCCCTCCTTTCTCACTACCTTAAATGAACCTTGTCCTCAAGGTTCAAGGAGTTGAACCATAATTGTTGAAGTAATGCTTTTTCAATTTCAGTACTCATCTGATAGGGATGGTCCTTGAGGATGTGTTCCTAATGTATTCTCATCTAAACCAGGAATCCATGGGAATTCTCTCTCTGTTTGCTTCGAGCTTCCAACTTGACTGAATTCCAATCCTAATTGTGGATCTCCACCTTGATAAAGTGATGGATGAGAACTTTGTGATGCTGTTGAAGAAACAGTTGGAACTGCTTGAGTGGGCTGCCTCATTCTCTTCACTATCTTTGGATTAAGCAAGAAGTGCAAGGTGGCACATGCTTCACTGTGCTAGACTCAAATTTGAACTCAGTATTCATGGAGAGTATCGCACCTAATTTTCAGGCTCCTTCGCAATAATTTGCCACCTAGAAAATTGATGATGTGTTGCAGGAAAAAACTTGAAAAATTGAATGTTGAATGTCCTTATCCTGATCGGCTATTCTTGACACAGGGAAGCGCCTGGACATTGCCCTGAGCCAAGCCTGAAAAATCCACGTAAATGACTTCTCAGGTTCATCTACAACTCTCCTGATTGCCGTATCAAACAAAATAGCATCACCAAACTGAGTGCAAGAAAATCTAGATCGGTCATCAGCCAAGAAAATATTCATGCCTTTACCATCTCGAATTTCCGTTGCATAAAAGAAACCTGTATCCTCAGCTACTTGAGACTGAAAATACACAAAAAGCACATCATACCAACCACTTGAAATGTTACTTACTCACTCTCTTTTTGACTAGATTGAGATAACCATTTTTCTCAACTAAATTCGAATTTTCCAACACAATAGTTCCTTCCTCTTTAAATTGATTTAATGCTTTTACTGGGATCAGCCAGAGTATCAAATTGATGAGCAGGTTCCTTTTGAAGGCGATCCACCATCCAACTTCCCTATCCTTAAAATGGGGCTCAAACTATCACATAAGAGAATCAAACCAGGGAGAGAATCGAGAAGAAAAGATCAGCAAACCCATTTATCTTCTATAGTGCAAAACATATTTCATTGTAGTTATTTTTTTATTTTTTTTTCAAAATATCTAAGTATATAAAAGGAAATTTGTCCTAATTCAAATACATCATGGTAATATGTTGAATACTATGACAGATCTATGACTAGTTGATGATGTAACAGTACAAAATTAAATGTGGTATATTTATCAGAAGCCTTAACCTCAAAGTGAGCATTTTGCATAGGAAAATTATCTATTTATTTATTTTTTTCCCTGAAACAACGAACAAATTGTAGTCACATGAGAGAATATGAAATGGAAGAATTATTTCAAAACAAAAACTGAATATCAAATGTTAAAAACATCGGACACTTTAAGTTTTCAATATTCTGTACCTTCTGCTAGTGCTAAAAAGGAGAAATTTCCTTTGTTAGGGAGCTGAAACTTCTATACGGACCAAAGGTGGCCTTAAATGTTAAACTTCTTTTACATGCCGCACGTTTCATGGCTACCAGGAAAGACTCAAATTTTAGTCTTCAAAGGTCCACACTGTGGTCAACCTATAAAAAAACTCATTGGTATTCGCCATTATTTGTTAAATTCTAAGTTATCGTTTCACTGTCAAGACTAGGCTTTACTTACATTCAGATGCATTACCAAAAACTTCCTTTTTAGCAATGTCATTATTCTTTATCCTAATAAATAGAAGAATAAAGCTAAGTGCACAAACATGTTTGACAATCATGCACAACCCATCCTTTTGGCCCAAATGTCCATTAAAAAAAATTTAAGTAACAACATATATTTTTTTATGTGCTATATATATATATATTTTATAAGTATTAACCCGTGTTGAATTTTTTTCCTGGATCCGCCATAGAGTCTCTATAAATTGAAATCCTATGAGTATAGTGTACAGAGACATGAGCATCAGCACTAGATTAACCCCTGTTTGATAGCCATTATTCGGCAAAAACAAAGTTTTGAATAGTGAATTTTTGCAGAACGTGTGGCTAAAAAATTGGAAAAGATTTTGAGTTTATATGTAGAATATTTTATTATATGAATGTAAGGCTGAAAATGAATATATAGAAAAATGAGTTTTTGGATAATCTCCTCAATAATTTTAATTAATATTGAAATCATCCACTCATGAATTCTATCAAATTCTTCCCTTATGATATCCAATCGAGAGACACAAGGATTGTAGCTGCTGTGATACCATTTTGTCAGGGTTGGATGCTTACTGGTTGCCTCCCTCAAATCATAACAAAGAAAATGCAAAGAACTTAACTGAATCAACTAAAATAATGTCACCAAACGAAGATAAAAGAGAATGGGGATAAGGTAAAAGAGAAAATTAGAAGAAAGAGATGAGAAAATTGTTGAACAATTTCAACAAAATCTCTGAATGTTGGATAACAAAGCTACCATTCCTCTTTCCCCAATGTTCTGTATCTACTGGCTTTCAAAATAGAGAAAACGCATTTTTCTAGACAAAATCGAAAGGCGTTTTTTAACTGATTATTTACAATTTCAATCAAAACAAAACGACACCGTTTCTACTTAACCCAAACGACATCGTCTTAAATTCATTTGCGTCAGTTAAGTTCGGTGACTCCTTCCATCTCTTCCTTCTTCCCTTATTTCTGACCATTGGCCCTTTAAATGACAAAAAAAAAAAAAAAAAAAAAAATTACCTCTTGGATTTCGGATTTTGAGAAGATGGGGTTTTTCTAGCAACTAAGTACTTTTCCATGGGGATGAATTTTAACTAAGAGAGTCTCTTTCCGGGACTTCTTCTTCTTCTGGAGCAAAACAGATCACTGAGCAACTGTAAATTTTCCCGCCATCCTCAGCATTTTGTCTATCAGGTTTTTATATGAATTTGAACCCCTGCCGAAAGGGAGAAATTGAAAATGGTACGCTTTCTGGCTCCCTAAAATTGGACTTTTTCACTGGAGATCACTCCCTCACAGCTTTGTTTTATGTGAGTTATTCAATTTTGATTTGTTTCAATCTTATCCCTAACTTATCTTTATGTATCAGTTTGATCATTTGTAGATGACGAAAGACCTTGTTTGATGCTAAATCAGCAGTTAGGTGACCTAAATCATGAGATGTTTCTCCCAAAATTAGATTCCAAAGCCATTGTCTACAATTAGGATTCATATTTCATAATTTAAAATCTGCATTTTGTTTATTGACATTTAACATAAAA